TATATTTTATATATACATTTATATATTTTATATTTTGTTCATGATTCTTGGGTATAGTTAAATGAAGAGTAAATGGATGATCGCTTAACTTCACTTGGGTTTCGCTTAAAATAAAGTCACCCGCACTAAAACATTGCCACATATATCAATACGATTGTATATATATATTTTGAGGCAATATCAATTTCAAACCAAATATATAATGTATGTTCTTACTATTTAATAGTTCTGCCTATAAACTTTTCAACAATTAACTGACGGAATATTAATACAATTTCAATATTGTTCGACTGCTAATGCAATACAGTTTAGATAATCAATTTTTGTAAATTAATTAGTAAATGAACTTGCCACACCAATTTCATACTTCCAGTTCTAATATTTTTCAAGGTACTTTTTCAATGTACTTGAACTGTTGTATTGCCAAGAATTAAAATTTCAGCGCATTGGACACATCTAAACAAAGCTAAATACTTCCTTTCTAACAATATTGCCATAAAATTTCTGTGATGATTTTGTGCTACACCTGCCAAAATATAAGCGTCTACATATTAAACAAGCATAAATAAACTGAATTTCAATTTTAAACAAAAATTCTTAATTAGTAGTTTAAATACCTATAATCCATTTAACAGCTTAAAACTGTAAAATGGGTCATCTGTAGGATTTTGTGTTTAGTTTGTCATATTCTAGCAGTCGTATATATCGACCACGACTTGATAAATTAAATCTTCCCGTGCAATTAAGTTTTTGTATTTATTAACCGAATAATTGGATAGCAAGGAGCTAATAGGCTACACTGCATCAGAGTCAAATGGCACCAAACCAATACAAAACAAAATTATTGGAAAAGATGATTGCTGTTCAGATATTTTTATAATATTAAAAGCAAATAAGAAAACAAATAGTAATTTATTTAAGATTTAATACACTGAACATCTGAATAGTGTAGGAATGAGAACTTTTTATTTGGGCTTCTCTGTTCAATTTTGATCACGCCTTATTTTATCAGCGTACAACATAATGCAATTGATTCGTTAAAAAAAATTATTTACTTAATTCTTTTATAGAACATATTTGAAATTTGGTCTTATTTCTGATGTTTGCATTTTTCCGATAAAAGACATAATTTATTTTCAAGGCTAATATTTTATTATTGTTCTCCCGAATTATAGACAATATCTCTCTTTTCCTTTGTTCTGCAATCATTGTCATCGCGTACTTTTGATTTTTATCTGATTTTGCTGCTGCTGACTTATCTTTATTTATTTCCATAGAATCAGCTTTAGAGTCTTTACTAATAACTCCGTTGTTTCCATTTGGAGGCATAGATTCAACGAGATTTGATTCTTCCGCAATGTCATGAACAAACTTCTTTTGGTCAGATTTAATTGGTTTTTGTAAGTTTGGACGTTTCCTTTTTCGTACAGGAGGCATCTAAATCATTATTAATATAAAAATATCATTTTAAAAATCAAATTTTTAAACTCAGTACCTCAAAGATATTATACTCAAAGCAAATTTAAGAATTTAACACAAAAGAGTTTATAAGTACGACCACCTCGAACACTGTCGGAAATTGAAAGAAAGATAAAGAACTGAAAAAGCATTACTAGGCATAAAGGTTTATGCCACGAAATCCAATATTTATTACGATTACTCTGCCAGAAGAAAATTAAACAAATCACGTGGAAACTAAGAAATAGTTCTGTAATTTAGGTGTCATAACAAGAGAATAATAAAATAAATAATTAAAGTAATAAAAAAAATTAATAGGAAAAAATTAAAAACATGGTTCATAGAGATAAAAGTAATTATTTCTTTAATATATTATTTGATTGTATATTGATTGATTGTATTGTATTCAATGAATTTTGAACTTTGATAAATAAAGTGAAGTACGTTATGAAGATACATTGATTTGTTCTACATTTTATTCAAAGCGAAACGATGTTACTAAGTAATTTAACAACTTCATTAAAAGTACGCATAAGGTAGTTGGATTTATTATTGGCAAACATTCACATTTACATTAAGCAATCATCAAACTACTGACAACCACCATGAAATGCATTCCTAAATTGATTGATTTCATCATACCCATAACCATACCCCCAAACATATCTATTAAGAGTTATATTTAATAACTTTTTTGTAACTTATTTGTATCAATAGAAATCAAGAGCTTTCAAATGCTTCTATATATATAAGTCAGTAAACCTATTGTAAAAGAAAGATAAATTTACAAAATACAAAATTCTAAATATTCCGTCATTGGCATATGAATACACAAAACAAGGCACAAGAGATAACTTAATGCGATTAAAATACGATTAAGAAGGATTTTTAGCTTTAGAAGAGGTTGCAATGAAGGACAAATAAAAATTTCAAAACATTCATCAAATCATAACGTCACACAGATTAAGATGGATAGGACATTCAGAGAAGAAAGAATAATAAAAGGATAGTCAAATCAATAAAGAATAGAATACTGAGTAGTACAGAGGCCAGTAAAAAGTCAAGGTCAATGTGGTTTAATCGTGTAAAGTAGATTACAAGAAAGCGGATATTAAAAAGTAAAAGCAGCTGAGGCAAATTAGAGAATGGCTAAACTTATTCGTTAAAGGATATAAGGAACATTGTTACCAATAATAATGTTGAAGAAAAATTTGTAATAAGATATTAACATATATTTATTTAAAAATAAATTAATGGAAAAAATTTAATATTTAAGTTTAAATATTTTTATATGTTCTAAACTATATTATCTAAAAGAAAATAAGATAATATGTGGTGTTCTTGATATAACACCAATCGTCAGCTAACTTGTTGTCGATTGAGAAGAATATCCAGTTTAAGAGAAAACCGAGTTTAGTTAAATTGTCCATATGAGGTATGTTCATTCAGTACTAACATTAGTTGGGAGAATTTTCACTGTATTATATATTTTTATTAACAATAACGCTATAACCTATTTTAACGGTTTTAATTTATTTTAATGTTGCTGAATATTCAATCGCAACTCGTTTTTCCTCTAGACATCTGCGTTTTACGCAGTAACGTAAGTAAGTTGAGGTTCAGACATTTACAAAAAATTGTTTATTTTAAAAGGAATAATTTTTGTGCTTCAAATAAACTTGCTATAAATGTACAGATAAACACTTTTACCTAACACATCCTTCTTTAAATGTTTTTTTACTTTGCTCTTAAAAAGGGAATATTTTTAACAACTTATTAATATCATTTAGTAGAAAAAAAAACAATTTTTAAAAAAAATATTTAGAGAATGGCTAGAAAGGAGCACAGTTTCGGGAAGCAAGTCTAGACGAAATATCCGATCTGGTTAAAAATAAATTGCGTCACTATCTGATCGCATCACATGCGCACAAACTAAACCTAATTCACAGCGATGCTTTTAAGAAGTCCAACGAGCCGGTTGCAAAGGAAGCTCTGGAGCTTCTGCCGACTCTCTTGAGAACTCGACAAAAATACTTGGGGACTGTCAGTTTTATCGGACTAAAGCACGTACCTGAGATTTCTATTGAAATCCTAATAATATTCACTAATAAAACGCGCATCCTAAGTAATGCTAAAATAAGACTCTGATGTGGTGTCGCAGACCTTAATGGTCTACGCGTGGCCTTTTTGGTCAGCCAGCATAACCTTATATCTAAACTTAACTATTGTTTTCAGCGGTTTGTGACACGGGACATTGTTTTGGTAAAACATCACTTTTTTCTATTGCATGTAAAACCTTTTTTATCTTTAGTTCTACACCTTATCGATCCAATAACGCAGTAAATGTTCATTATTGACAGTTTGATTTTTAACAAAATAGCCCATGAACTATAATAATTTTACTCGAGAACTATACTACATTATTGGAATATTAAATATGGCACATTGGCTAATATTGGGATGGATATTAGACTTAGAAAAGGTTTAAAAAGCGATACAGAATTCTGGTAGGATCATATTACAAATTTTTTACAGGTACTCAGTGCCTCGCATGGAGAATAAATATCATTATTATCTGCATGAAAATTTAAAACTACCTAAGTTTATTATTCTTTTTTAATAAAATAAAACAATTAGTAATAAGATGTTGACTTACTACTATTTAAATATTAAAAAGTTTTCCACTTTTGTCCTATATCTATTGAAAAAATCAAATAATATTTAATATAAATTTCTTAAATTCATATTTTTATTTTACTAAAACTTTGATAAAATAATATGAGCATTATTTATTGATTGCTATAACTTCTAAGCACACATAAAATTAACATAAGTTATTTGCATATATATAAAATATATTTTAGCACATAATTAAAATGAGCTTAAAATCCGGGACAATTCATAGCTTACTTATCAACTGACAAGAAAAGAAACACGTTCACTTTCAGTACATTGAGCAAGATCTGCGGCTAAAAAAGACTTCTGTAAACAATAAAGAAACTGACAGCTGACAATTAGTTGGGATGAACCCCATAGACTCGGCATAAGTACTTTTTTCTACTCATCAGCGAAAATCAAATAATGAAACTAAATGCTCGCAGGAAAGCACCCAACAATAAAAAATAGCCACACTTAAATCTGCGACGTCAATGACAACGAGTCAACGCTTCGCAACAACGCAGCAGCTGTACAGCGTACGCTTGTCAATGGTACAGGTTCTTCTTCACGATGAGGATGAGTTACGCGGCGTTAAAGCAGAAGCTACAGCGCAGTTATCGTTTTATTGTTGCGTTTGTGCTGCTGCTGCGACTGAGGCGGTTTCTTCGGCTGTGGCTATTGCTGTTGCTGTTGTTGTTGTTGTAATTGTTGATTTTGTTGTATTATTATTGGTGATGATATTGTTGCTGGTGTAGTTATTTGCTCTCACGAACTTAGTTGCACGAAAAAAGAAACCTAAGCGTTAAGCTTATTTTACAAACGTTTTAAAGCCAAGTATATAAACTAAGACTTGGCGATTTTTCACTTAGTGTGACATCGTCCACTACCGTACACCATCATTACCAACAATAACAACAACAACGTCTACGGAATATTGGTTAAGAAAATAATTTAAACAAATATCGAAAAGTTAATAAATTTAATTTGCACAGCAGTTGCAGTAAGTTTTATTTTTTAATAAAACATTATTAAATTAAAAATTTAAGAAAAATAAAATAAAATTAGTAATAATTAGTGTTATTTGATAAGTGCGAATACAAGATTTTTAAATGAATTTAACATTAATAATTAAATATATTAAACAAATTTTGAAGTGCAATTATTTTTTCATTGTTTGCAACTATATGACGTTAATAAAAATATAAGAAATATGTTAATAAAATAAAATTAAAGGACTGTTTTTCTGTTATTCGACTTAAAAGACTTTATATTATAAATAATATTACAAATAGTGTTCAAAAGTGTATCTCCCCGGTCAACTATAAAAATTGGGTCAAAATATCAATTATTTTTATTTATCTTTCTTTCTCGTTAACGAAGAAACCAAAGCATATAAATTAAATATTTTATCTTGGATCAAATTAATAGTTTTTTTGTAACCAAAATAAAAAATAATGTATTAAAAATTATAATGAAAACGAAAGTTAGTTAATTCCTTGACAATAAAAATATTTTGTGAAAAAAAATTCGATTGTACTTGAAGAGCACAGTATTTAGTATATTGCGTTTTGTTGGGATAATTGTAAATATTTTTTTCGAAAAATGAATTTATAATAATTTAATTAAATATTTTGTTCAACATAAAAAAATGAAAGTATATCAAGACATCGTTACAAAAAAACTTATTACATGCATTTTAAGCTCAAAAAATTTTTAATCAAAAAAAAAATTATATAATGAACTATATTCAAAATTAAAACAGAAGTTATAAAATTAAATAAAATAAAAAAGAATTATATAATATAAAAAAATTAATTATATCAAAATATTAATAATATAATAAAATTAAATTATATAATTAAATTAATTTTAAATAAAAATGTGATTAACAAAATAAAATTATATAAAATTATAATTAAATATGACATGTAGAATTCAAAAAAAATAATAAAAAAAAATAAATTACATTAAAAATATAGTACGAAAAACGAAATAAACGAAACATAAAATAAAAAATAAATAAATTAGAATGTTTGTATTATTGTCGTGTTTCTAAATTTATATTTTTATATAAATTTTTATTTTCATATTTATATTTTTAACTTTTTATTTTTATATTACATAAGTAACAACTGTGACATTTTTTTATTTAATCTTAAGTTTGTTTTTTATACAATCTGCGTTATTATATAAAACATAAAATTAAAAACACGACCTAAAGCTGAGCAACATTTAAACACAAAAAATAAATAAAATGAAAAAAAATAAATAAAAACAAATTATAATCTAAAAAAATAAAATAAATTGAACTTAAATTAATTAAAACAAAATATAAATGTATGAAACAAAATCTATGCAACAAAATTATAGCTATAAATAAAAATTTAATAATGTAATAATAAAATAAAATTATGCAAAACTGAATAATGTTAAATAAAAAAATATTTATTAAAATATAAAAAATAATTAAAAATAATAGAAGAATATAGTAAAAAATAAAAATATAAATTATTAAATAAATTTAAGTAAAAATACAAAAAATACAAGAAAACAAGAAATAAACAAAAAACATATAAAATTAAAAAAAAATATTAGTTAAATTATGGAGGAAAGGCAAAAAAAATAACGAACTGCTAAACAAAAATAAATATTATCGGCTTTAAAACTTAAAAAAATATTTATTAATATTAATATATTTACGTACAAAAACAAAAATTATAAATATAATTTTATTTATCAGAAATAAATTAGAACAAAATAAATTTTGTTTTACATACTTTAAAAACATTTTTTTGGAAATGACAGTAAAATATTAAAAATAAAATAAAACAAAATACAATAACATATAAGTTAAAACCAAATCCAATAAAATAAACAATTTTTTAATACAACAAAAAAAAAATTAAGTTCAAATACATCTTTAAATACTATTTGTTGATTTGAATTGATTTAAAAATAAAATTAAAAAATTGAATAAATGAACCAAAACTTAAAATAATTAAAATTTAAATAACATTTTAATAACAAAATAATTGAAAACTAAATTGTATTTAATATAAAATAAAAATATCTTCTTGTATCATATGTATTGTTGAAACAGATTTCTTGTCAGATGATTTAAATAGATTTCAATTATTTATAAAGTTTAAATTCTAAAAATACAAAATAACATGTAATGAAATAATACAATATTTAATGTGTAATATACCACAATAATTTAAAATCATATAACATAAAATAAGATGGCAATAATGAAATAATCACAATTAACTTAAGACATAATAAAAAACAAACTGCAATGAAAATACCGCATAAATAAAAACAATATAAAATAAGATTAACTATTGTAACATAAAATTAAGCAATTAAGTAAAATAAACTGAATTCAATTAATTTTTTAATTAAATTTAAGCTAATAATAACATATTAAATTTAAAAATAAAATTTATAAAAAATGATTTAAAAAATAAAATAAAATAAAATATTTATACCTAATTAATAACTAATTAAATTATGAAATTAAATTTTATTAATTATTAAAAAAATATAATTAATCTATTACATTCTTAACTATTCGGATTAAAAAATTAAAATTAGTTATAATTAATTTTATGAAAATAAATCTACCATGTTTGTTAAAATAAGAGTTCTTGGAAGATAAAAAACAGTAAAATTAATAAATTAATGAATAATAATTATTAAAAAGTAATAAAAAATAAATAATATTAATAAATATATTAATAAAATAATATAATAATAATTATATGTAAACATTAATAAATATTAGTAATATAAAGGCAATAATAATTAATATACAATAATAACTAAAATATGAAAATAACAATTAATAAAAAAATTGATTGAAAAAATTTAAAAAAAATAAATTTGTTTTCATATAATTATTGAAGTAAATTATTTTTATTTACTTATTAATAACTAAAAAATAAATAAAATTTTTGTTAACAAAATTTAAATTAAATTAAATCAGAGGATTAAATCAAATGAGAACAAAAACAATATAAAGATATAAATATAATATAAAAATAAAAATTATTCTAATAAGCAGATGGATATAAAATATTTTTATTTTAACTTAAATCCAAATAAAAGTATGAAAACAAACAATAATAAATTTACTATAAAAACACTAATAATTTCATTTACATTAAATATAAAAATATTATTTATTTTTATTAAAATATGTATAATTGGCATAAACTATATTTCAAAATATTGCTGATATGGTATATAATTATATATAATTACTGATATAAATATGTCATATTCTATATTAAGACTTATATATAGTGAAATAAAAAATATGTGCTAAATAAACAATAAATTTCAATGAATTTTATTATAAAATTTTATTATATTTTTAAAAAAATTGAACATATAAAGTTTAAAAGTTTCAAACGTTTTTAAAAATATTTATTAATTACAATGAACAGATATATAATAACACAATGTTATAAAAAATTAATATTACAAAAAACTCTTGGTTGCAAGAAACTTTGATTTATATACTTGTATGTGAACGTAAATATTTAAAATATTTATTATTATTTATTACTTTATAGCTGCAAATTTATGTAGATAAAAACAATTTTCGTTCCTTACTTTTCTTTTTGTTATTATGAAATGTGATTAATTAAAGGCATGCAAATAAACAAAACTTTAAGATAAAAATTTTTTTTAAGATATATTATAAATCCTAAATTTATAATAAATTTTCATATAAGTAAAATGTTCACAAAAATGAAACATATTATCCTCAAATTTTTTTTATTTTGGTTATTTGTTTGGTTTTTACATTATATAATAATATTTCAAATAAAAGAAAAATAGATCTAAAACAAAACACAAAAGAATTAAATAATTAATAATAATAAATATTTTAATATGTGCATACATGTATATACATACATATAATAATATATATACAAAAATCAATTAAATTTGAATTTAATTAATTAATCGTAAAAAAAAATTTGGTATATTTAAAAGTAAAAAAAAACTTCATCATAATTTTTTTTTTGTGGGTATCTACTAATTACTCGTGGTTTCTTCCAACTTACGTCACGAAGAGACTAATGGAAATATTGCACCACAAACCAATTAATTAACGGAAAATCAAATGTGTAAATTTGCATCTCACAAGTGCATGTGTAGCGGCTAAACCAAGATTCAGTTTTATATCCTTGTGTGCGAAATTTCATTAAATTTTATATACTTTTCAAAAGATACAAAATACAAGAAAATATTATGTCATGTTTAAATCTTTGACATTTAGCGGCTTCAAAAAGAGTTTTTATACTCTTTTTAACGTAGCTCATGAAAAGTTGGTCTGGAGAAAACTGTGGAAATATGTTTTATGCATTTTTGCATTCAGTATTTGTGTGTCAACTCAGACTAATCAAAATGCTGAACTTTTGACCTTTGATCAATTGTTTGTAGGGTTTCATAGGAAAGCAGTAAAAAATATGAAAATATATTGCAAAACGAATAAGTATGAGTATATTCACTGTATGATATGCATGGGTATTTGAGTATGTAGGGCGAGACGAAATTTTATTGACAGTTTATTGTTAAACCGTGAGGACATAAAGAGAATAAAAATTTAGTTATTAAAAAAAAATTAATTTTTAATGATCCATTATACCAAGTAAATGCAACATAAAAAATATATATCCGAATAACTACCTCATTTATAGTATACTATGTTATAAACTGTATACAATTAAAATTTACAATGTGATATTTTTTTAATTTGCTATTGTGTATTATTACCTATTAATGCATTTCATATGAGACTATTGTTTTTCAGTCTTGGGCAAGAACAATTCATTTAAATTCATCGATAAAACTCGAAACTATACGTATAATAATCGTACAAAAATTTGAGATTATCTTATAAATCAATATGTTAAGTTAGTTCATTAACCAAATAAAGCAGATAATAATAATACATTTATAAGACGTTTTTTTTAGTTATGTGAGAGCTTAAAGTTAAGCTAAACGTAGTCCAAGTTGTATACTAAAGCAGTATATATGTAAAAATATATATAAACATATTTAAATATACATATATTTTATTTTATTATTATCAAAATTTTGTTAAAGTCCTATTATACCAATTTCACTATTGATTACACAAAGCCCTTTAAAGCTTTGTGAACAAAGTGCAGAATTACATCTACAGAAGAGCTCTTAATCTGTTTTGCTGACAGAAATTCTATATGAAATAAGTTTCTTCTGCTGGTTTTTAAAACTGGATCGTCACAAAGAATATGCATAGTAATTCCCTCATCTTTGAGGCATAATCTATATTCTGAAATAGCAGATAATTGTAGTTTATGAAGGTGGTATTTTAGACCATAATGTCCCGTAATGAAACCTGTTATCAACCTTTAATTACATTTTGAGAATTTATACATGTTTAAATATATAAATATATATAAAAATATATAAATGCTTATAAATATATGTAAATAAATATAAATACATACAAATATATATAAATTAATAAATATATGTATAAATATATATATGTATATATAAATATGTATAAGTATATAAAACTATATAAATTCGCATAAATATATATTAATATATATGTTAATAAAAGAATGTAATTAATTGTTATTATAATAAAAAATTAGTTGCAATACAAAGTCCAGGTGTACCTTACATAAAATTAATGTAATTAACGCGATCGAACATATTTTATTATTTTACGTATTGGTTTATGCTTTTTTTAGCAATAGCAAATTATAAATATTAATTTCAGACGCATTTGCTTCATACTTTACTTTTCTTTTTCATCTTAACCTTATATTTTTGCATTTGTTTCTTAAGTATGCTAACGGATACTTAATGAATTCTTTTGACCTTTCTTGAGAACTCTAAAATGTTGCTAAACTTGACAGGAAACCTATAAACTTTCTTAAGATATGTTCCATTGAATTAGTGTCTTTTCTAAAAGAATTTGAAACTATAGTTATTGAGGGGATTTTGGTTTCTAGCTGTTCAGCGTTCTAACGCAGAACCTCATTGCTGGTACAACGCTTTACGTCAATATATATAGCTTAGTTTTCGATTTATTCGGCTTCAAAATTAGAAATTTTGTTAGATAAAACTCACTAACTACAAGTAGAGATCGTCATTTAGGTATCTCAAAAGCTCATAGTCAAAATTTTTTAAGTTTGTGGTTAGTAATACAGTTTTCCACATTTTGGTAACTCCTCAGACCTCATAATATCGGAGAACATTATGAACACTTTAAAGCCATTATTTTGATTTTTTGATATATATTTTTTTATTTGTATTGTTAAATTGCAGTCTTTGCATATCACAATTACTTTCAGCAATATTTTGTATATAAAAAATTATATTAACTATAATAATTTTTCTGCAGTTTGTTATATTAGTATGTCTAAATAATTTTTAAAACTTAATGCATTTATTAACAAATTATAAATTTTTTTTTTATTTCAGAGACCTATGCGAAACAATTAGGTAAGATGAGAAAACAATCATAATATAATTAATTTTCTGTGGGTATATATACTTTCTTCTAACCGCAACTGTTTTGTATTATAATGCTTTTGTTAATTTTTGTATAACTTTATATTTTGATAGATAGATACTTTGTAATATTCAGCCTCTATTTATATTTTTGTGTAATGATTTGATGGCATCATAAAGCACATAAATTGAATACAGTAGTGCGAATAAAATTAAACAGTTTATGACTAGTTTGAAGTATTTAAAAGCAGACAAACTACTTCCTTGACTTACTCTCAAATAGCGCAGTTACATCAAATTTCTTATCTGAATTACAAATTCGTTAAATTTAGTTAGGTTTGCAAGTTATGAAATACTTTGCGATGCCCAGTATCTCTCTTACATCACTCTTCCCTCTTCACTCTTACTTTACACACACTCAGTTTGCACATTTTTGCAACATGAAAGAAAGTTAATTTTAATGAAATTCAAATTGCATGAGCATCTTTAAAAAATTCAACTTGAAGGATGCAAATAAAAAATTACTAAATCTATTATAAAATCACAATTTTATATTTATTAGTAAAAAAATTAAAAATTCGAACAACCCATAAAACTAACATCTTTTGAACTGCTTGAATTATAATGATTGCTTCGTCAAAAATAAAACTAACTAGTAAAAATAATTATTCAAATTAATTCTATCAAATGCTTTCTTAAGTTTAACTAATTAAGTAGTTACTTATATATTGTACTATAAAGCAATTAATAAATTTTTGAAATAAATATTATCGACTTAATATCTTCTATATAAAGTTTTTAAGTGAACAAATTACGTTTATAAAATTGAAGTTCCATAAATTTGATATTTTTATAATAATAATTTAATTAAAATTAATTTGTCCTCTGACAAGGCATGCATTTTCAATAGTCGAATAGAAGTAATAGGGAGAATATGTTTCCTTAATCAAGAGTGAATTTTCTGACTGACCAAAGATTTTTTAGGATGCTGTCAAATATCTGCCATCAAGGGTCTTCGGCAACATCTATAATCTTAATTGGCCGTAATTGATTACTTAATTAAATTAAATATATATTAAACATTATGACTCTAGCCAAAATGCACTAGAGTCAAGATAAACTAAACATTACCTTATACACATTTATATATGTAATATGTAAAATTTTTTAATCATAAATTGATTTGTTAAATGACTTCTATTAAAAATGCTAATACATTTTTTTGTTTTAATAATTAACTCAATAGTTTAATCTACGCCCACACATGCATATCTAAGTAATTTTTTATAAAAATAAATAGACAGTTGACTAGTTTGAAGATACTTGATCTATGTTTGCGGTTTTAATATATTCAAACTTAATGAATATTCAAATTAAATAAAAAGAAGAAGCACAATTTTATAGGCATATTTATTATCTGTTAGATGTATGTTATAATTATTGAAATAAAATATTAATTAATTAGTAACCAATATTTACTGTTAATTTATACAGGTTTTTTTAAAATCCTCCTACACTATTTTTACACAATATCAATCTTTGTTATGTATGTTACATGGGGGTTTAAATATTTTATTTTTGAATTTCGTAACTGTAGGAGGAATTCATTTAATTTTGTCATCGAAATTTTTATTTTCGTATTACACTATAAGTTCCTCTATACCGCTTTACATACTTTTTGCCTCCTTAACTTCTACTATACCACAGAGTTTCATATCGCTTTGAGTATGCTAAATTATTGCTTTGCTTTGTATATTAGGTACCGTCAAATATCTAACTGATATCTACCGTCAAATAAATATTTACTGATATGAAATTATACAGATGGCAGATGACAAAATTTTTTTTGTAATATAAGTCTGATTTACGGACTTAGGGTCTAGATCATAAAAAAATCGGTAAAATTTCCACTGATTTCAGGTAAAACCAGTTTAGTGTGTCTGTAGTCTTAGTACTTATTTTTTGATCTATTGTTTGATTCAGATGGGATCCAAACTTCAATAGGTGGTCTCATACCAGATTTGGATAAGCCGATAAATAGTCTACAAATTTTTGTATTGGAACGGGTTTTTGCAAATTCTTAAGTTATTTCGATTTCTTATATTTTTATACGTCTTATACTGATTCGCTGGTTCGGGCGATTAGTATTTGATAAAATCTAACTTTCGTTTATCTGACTTCTAATACGCTTAGATATACAGTAATGTATTTTTTTTGTGAAGATTAATCTTTCCTCTATTTCCTTGCTAAGACTGTTGTTCCATTTAATATTCGCTCTCAGATATATAAAACCCTTTGACACTTAAAGGCTCTACTCTTGTACATTTTGAGTTTATGTCCAGTATAATTTATAGATTAGGTTATGTTAGGTTGTTGTGACACTCGGTCAAGTCTACAGTCAGATCTACAGATTCATTGTATTACCGCTACTATTATGTTACCTCCACCAAAATTCTTTTACTTAAAGTATCATTTTCGAAACTGTAATAAAGCATAAAGTACGATAATGCAAACTAAGAAAATAATTGAATTAGAAATCTTTTTCACCTTGAGTGTTGCCTTGACTATGTTGTCTCTGGTGTGTTTTATTTTTAAGATCATTTACTAATATCAAACCATACTGTCATAACATCTTGTATGATATACATTGAATATGTTTATTAAATTTATTTCATAATAGTTTTTTTGTATATCTATATTCAAATATCCCTGCCAGCTACGGTCGGAGGTGGATGTATGACCACTTTTTGCGCCAGGCAAATAGTTAGTGGACCCTTGCCGCCTCAGCAGTCAAATCAAGGGCTACAGGGCCAATCTGTTCCAAATGTAGACCCTCTAACTTAATACACAGAAGCAAATCAATAGTATCTTGGTTAATATATGCTTTACTGAACGATAGGACTACATGGAGCTAGGCTTGACGTGTCCTGTAGTATCTCCTGCAATACGTGTTTACCGGCTTTCGAAGAAAGCACCCCAGAACACCTGAAATGTCTATGACTATGTTAAGCTTCTGAGGGCCCCTTCTTCAACACACTCGGCGACGTATTTAGCATAAGCATTGGCAAATTCTTTCCATTATAAATACCTCCGGTTGGTTTTAGCTTGAACTTCTCTCTACTACCAACTATTACGAGGATTTGTGGATTCAAAACGGCTTTTTTAGCTAATTGCGGAGGACTCGTTTCTCTCTCCCCCACAACTAACTAACTACATTCAAATAATTTTTTAATATATTATATTATCTTCATCAAATCTCTTGTATTCGTAGTAATTATATAAATGAAATTTTTCTCATATTGAGTCATTTCAGTTGTATAATTATTATAAAGTTGGATATCTCTTTAATAAGAATCTTGAAGTTGGGATGTAAAATACGAGTATAGGTCATGCCATTGACTTGCACATCAAATCGTACTGCTTTGTTGTAACCATCTAAAGTCTCGGTTACAATTAATTTAACTGAATTAATGCTATCAAATGTACATATCCTTTACCCAAAAGTACTATATCTTTTTGTGTGTTTAATACATTCAAAAAATATGAAGTAGTTTTATATTCATCACTACATAGATGACGTTAATTTTTTTGTCTACAAAATTAACTTTTCAGTTTTTCATGTTTGTGGTACTTTTGAAACTCCCATTTTTAATACTTCATTATTAAATATACTTTTAATTTAATGCTTGCACTTAAATAACACAAATTTGGTACTCCTTCCCTGCGATCTTAAACGAAGGTGCGCGATTCCAAATTGTAGCGTTTGCTAGAAATTTGATTAGCAAAATTCTGAAAGCCGTTCTGATGCTATTAAGGCTTGTCTTGACACTCATTTATCAGTCGTTAAAGCTTTATTCTTTTTTTGTAATAAATTTAAAGAAGTGGAAATATTAAGAATGCTTATGAGATTGCATTTGAAATTGCACAAAATTACACAGAAAACGAACCTATTTAAAGGTTAACATTTGCATCTATAACGGCAAAGGCAATTTGTATAATGAAATATCAGTTATTGAAAAATGAGATTCATAAATCAAAGTCATTTGATTTTTGTAATTTGGTATTTTAGTGAATTTAAGAAACAAGTTTATTTTAAATAAAATTACAAATTAAATATATTTCTAAATCGGAGTTCACATTTTGGCAAATAACATTTGCCGTTATTTTCAAATTATTTATTATTCATTGTTTTTAATTCATAATAAGAACTCGCTGGGGATTAAAAAAAATTGCATAAAATTTTATACAAATAAAATAGTCAATTTTTATGTATAAAATTTTGTATTTAATTAAAAGCGCATTGTTTGAGGATTAAAAAAATTAATAATTTTTTTTTCCTAAAATAAATTTAATCGCTTATTTACATATTAATGATTTTGTTTTTATTTTTTTTATTTTTATTTTTTTTTTCTTTTTTTTTTGATTTATAATTAAAGACAATGAAAAACACTAAACACTTTAAATTCTTATAAAATTTTTGAAATTTTATTACTTGAAGAACATCCGGAAAACTTACAAACCCCCTGGGGCGTTGATTTCATCTAATCGTAATTAATTACGCTACCAATTACCAGGCTAATTTTAATTAAAGAAAAAAGTTGAGATTTAAAGTAATTAAATACTACAGGCAGGCGTAATAAATAAAGCCGAAAAATTGGTTAAATTAAAAACTCAAAAAAAGATAAAAAACACAATCAAAAGTCAAACAATAATAAATAACCAAAGATATATAAAAAAAAATACCCAAACAAATTCAAGGCCATGAAATTAGGTAATCAAGCGAAGATAGCGGAGATATGTCAAAGTTGGTTAAACTTTGATTGCGGCTTCGCTTTCAGCCAAAGTGAAATGGAAACGAAAAGTTTTTGTCTTCGACCGCGGATCTTCAGCTTCAGCTTCAATTTTTTTTTTTTTGTTTTTAATGCGGTGGAGACAGAAAATTACTTCAAGCCATTGACTTACCCTATTAAATATGTAGTTATACATATTTA